TGCCCGGCGGTTCCGCGACTCCCGCTTGGCGCGGCGCAGATTTTCCACAGTCCCGTGCATGCGCATTTTGGCGGCAGCTCTTGCTTGCGCCGGACATCACCAGCACTGTCTCTACCGCTTCAGTGTCTTATGGGTCCGGGCTTTAGGTTTTAGGGTTGTGCGGGCCTGGGACAGTTTGGGGTTTGGGTCGTCTTCTGTAAATGTCAGTTGGCGTATTTGCATCTAGGTCGAACCTCGGTGAAGTGATCGGAAGCCTTCATATCGCACCTTTGTATCGGGTCTGGAATCGTGCAGAAGGAAGCCTGCACAGTAAATTAGCCACCCCAATCTATAACTCAAGCAAATCTTGCTGCTCTGCTGTAGAGGCAGCATGGGAGAAAAACCATGAAAACCTGAAGCACTGAACCCAAATTTTCCACAGCCTTGACGCCGGTACCTCAAACTTTAAATGAACGGACCACCAAGCTGGAAACTCAAAAGCCCTGAAGTCCAACACCCGAACGCTCCAAGCTTCCATCTCAAACCCTTACTCGTAAGACTTGAAGCCCAAAGCCCACAAGCCCAAAACCCTCGCCCTGAAACTAAACCCTAAAGCCTATACCCCAAACCATCCCAAACCCTGAACCCTGATCCCTAATCCCTAGATCCTCGACCCTAATCCCTAAGCCCTCTATGTCTATGCGTAATTCTCTAAATCAGGGTCCCTTTTTAGGTCCCCATTTTAGCACGGCACCCTTATAAGAAGGGACCCCGAAAAGGAACCCTAATTTTGAGACCTACCCACATCCGAAACCCTGTGGGCCCTAAGCCTAAGCCCTCAACCCTAAGCCCTAAACCAAATAGTCGGACCTGGGCTGTTGACCGTTGCTGTCACCGCGCCGGTCTCGTGGACCAAAGGGCCCAGATTCGGCGCGGACTCTGCGATATCTGGCCACGGGGTTTTGGGTTTTAGTGTTTAGAATTTAAAGGTTTAGGCTCCAGGGTTTAGGAGGGTTTAGGGTCTACGGGGGCTTAGGCCTTTAAAGGGTTTAGAGCTTAGGGTTTAGCGTTCAAGGGCTTAGAGTGCTTTTGCGGTTTAGGGTTTAAGGGTTTAAAGGTTTAGGGCTTCAGGTCTCGCATTTTTTGGGGCTGCCGGTGTTAAGAGCTCCAGCGAGGCTCGCCAAGAAACCCACACTTGGTTTAGGGACTCAAGAATATCCGAGCTCTGGGGCCTTCAGTTTTTGATTTTGGCTTGCGCATGTGTGTGAGTGTGTGCTCTGACTGTCTGCCTGTCTGCCTGCCTGTCTGTCTGCCTGTCTGTCTGTCTGTCTGTCTGTGTGTCTGTCTGTCTGTCTGTCTGTCTGTCTGTCTGTGTTTTGTCGGCTCTGTTTTTTTGCTGTGTGTGTGTGTGCGTGCGCGCAAAGGGCCCGGGGGTGGGGGTGTTGGTGCTTCTGCAGCTTGCCATGCTTTTTCGAGGGGCAGGGGTGTAGGTAGGAAGAAAGCTAACCAAACAGTGATCCCTGGCACCGTATATCATCATCTTCGCAAACAGCCTCCAAGCTTCCATGGGCTCTCACAAATTCTGCAGTCGCTCCAGAACAATGCAGCAGCTGCATGCCACCATCCCGTGACCGATGTTGCGCCGAACACCACATACAGCTTGGCTCCGTGTAGATGAACATGCACACTGTACCGACATATGATACAACCGTGCCATCGTGGGTGTGTTCATCGGAGCACTCGTCAAGTTGCCGGCAACCAGTCTTCCAGCTAAAGCTCTTTGCAAGAAGCATGGCCGAGGTGCTGTACATGGGCCGTGTTAATACTTGTATATAATAGCTGTATGTAAAAAGTCTAACCATGCTAATGCCAATTATTCATAATACTAAAAAGTAGTCATAAAAATAGTTATACTTATGTAGAATAATAGGCAATAGTAACATAATAATACCCATGCTGAAAGCACGGCAGGGACTTTGCACAACTCGAAGGCAGAGGCTTCAAGCAGGGCCTGTCGGTGCTTTGCAGATGGACTGAAGCCTGCCATTCAGATCATCAGGGGTTTAGGGTTTAGGTTTAGGATCATCGAGGGGCTTAGGGTTTAAGCTTATGATCATCAGTGGTTTAGGGTTTAGGGTCATCAGGGTTTAGGGTTTAGGGCTTAGGGAGATGATGTTGTATTGACTCTGACCGCATTGTTTGCCTTGCCGTTGCTGCTAGCTAGTATACGCGTGTTATACAAAGCATCACAAGGTTCCGCCCAGCTACTTCCCATGTCGTTGATGCTGCGTACTCATTCAACACCTACCTCTTAGCATCCCTGACAATCCTGCTGAAAGCAATGCAGCCACTGACAGTATCATTATGGAGCTGGACATTTACACCGATAGCTGTGCACATCTGCTGGCACGACAATCAACTTTACACGACACGCCCGGACACATACATGAAATACGGAGAAATGCAGGCCCGTGCGTACGTGATTCACAACGACCCGGGTATCAACAAACACGGACATGTTGAGTGGGGCTTTAACTGGCACAAAGCAATCCAAACCCCCTGAACCAGACCGGACCGGAAGCCCTAAACCGTAAACCTTCTTGTTATACGACTTGCACACCAGCTCATTTAGATGCCGCCCTTGCCTGGCCAAAAGCTCCACCTGGCAAGATGGGACATGACGTTGGACATCCCAATCCTCTAAGTGTGTTTGCGTGCGTATGTATATACATGTCAAAGGTATGCAACACACACACACACAGAGACAAGTCATATATATATATGTATATACATACAGATGTATGTATAGTACGTATATATATATATATATAGATAATAAAGAACATTATATACAATGCGATGTATGTGTGAGTGTGTGTGCGCTTGTGAGATACTGTGTTGCGTTTAGCATATACACATGTATACATACATATGTACATATAAAAATACACACACACACATCGATACGGAGATAGATAGCTATCCGGATTTTTTTGCTTAGCATGCCTGTGGGTCAAACTGCAGCGTGGCCATGGAGTCAGCGCAAAGGTGACCCTGAGCCCGACACAGACGCTCCAAGCCCTATATGCTCTAAGCCCCATACTGGGATTATATTAACTCCATAAAAGCCTCCCACCCAAACCGGAGATTATAGAAACTCTGCAAAAGCATCGACTCTGCAGGTTTAAGCCCCTTGTGATCTCAATCTTAGATACCCTAATCCCTAAACCCCAAACCCTAATCACCAGGTCGACTCATTCCTCGATGAATGCGAGCCTTTGTCTGCGCCAGGACTTCATCCACCGCCTCTTGGATGCCGGCCTTGGGTTTAGGGTTTGCAGGAAGGCCGTGGAACCGAACCGGAACCGCAGAACCGGAACCGCAGAACCGGAACCGCACAGAACCGAACCGCACAGAACCGAACCGCACGGAACCGAACCGCACGGAAACGAACCGTGGCCATGCTGGGTTTGAGGTTTCGAGTTTGTTTAACTTACTACATAGCCGCTTAGGGCTGTGGGATTTAGGGGTTGAGAGTGTAGGGTTTGGGGAACTATCCTTTGAGTCCCAGAAGGGTTCTCTAAAGGGGTCTGTGAAGGTTCGACAAGACACGGCTTCAGAAACTGATTCCTCGTATTCTTACAGGACCCCGAAATGTCTCCACTTTCAGAGGCACCAGCTCACGATCTTGAGATCTCCCAAGATCTAGAGTCGCTGCGGCTGGAAGCTCATAGTGCCACAACTTCAGTATCCAGCTTGAGCATAATACCCTGAACCCTGAGCCTATATAAACCCTATAAACCCTAAACCTAGAGAGGCCGGTCTACTTTCACTACGGTTTTGGGGAGTCTTGTGCTAGGCTGTACTGGCTGTATTGAGAATCTCTCAAGTGCTGAGATTCCACTTATTCAGATCCCGAGACGACCCGGCATGAACTATAATTATAATAAGGACCCCCGCCCCGCAAAAAAAACAAAAATAAAGCATAGGTATTTATTAAGGTCCCTGTATTACGCATGCTTTCTCCAGTATTCTCCCTTTGTTATAGGGAACGGAAAACAGCGGGATTTTGCCAAGATACCTTAAGATCCATCGAAGCCATGTGTAGGCAAGGGCTTCTAAGCCAGAAGCTGCTTACGATTTTCCTCTCATGCATCGTTGTTACTGTCTGTGCATGCTCGGCAGGGCAACGTGACCGGCCCGGGATATCCGTGGTGCTCTTCACTAGAAACACCCAGGCTCTCAACCGTGGCGAATGCTCATATTTCTCCCCTACATGCCACGCTGGAGCCAGTAATGGGACAAGAGTTGAGACACAAAGTACATCGAACATCCTAACCTGTCCTAAACCCTAAAGACGAGACTCTGCAAAACCCTAAACCCTGATCCCTCGAACCCTACACCGAAACTGACACAGAGAGACCTGCCAGAAGGGCCCTGCACGGCGAGTCGTTCAGACTTCTGTCGCCATTTAGGATTTAGGGTGCTACTCGGGTTTGGGCTTCTCGCCTTTTGGGGTGTAGAACTTAGGGTCGAAAAAAAGGTATTGTTTCTGTCAGGCGTCTGCGTGAGACGTTCTCATCCTGTTCCAGTTTTCCTGTTGTCGAAAGCTATCAGGCTAACACCAGCCGGTACAAACGGTCAAGGTGGCTCTGGTTCATAAGCATCTCTGAATGTGTACGACCTTACATAAGACCCCGAAGATATGTGGAGGGATGTTGCTCTCGAGGCAAAACGTAATGGGAAACGTAACACAGCCTGCAGTCTACTTCACCAAACGCTAACTCCGGTCTGCTCTCCATTGTCTCCAGGTTCAGGCTGAGTTTCGTTCTGCCGGAAACTGCAATTAAATTCTTTAGCAAGAGCCCAATCTTGTGCACGCTTGTCGCATGCACCGTGTTTTCCTATGGGATAGAGGAGTTTCCATAGTCCGAACATCTCACCGACAGCACGAGAAGTGGCGGGTGTCTACAAGCCTCCTATGAACTGGAACACAGGAAGTGCGAACGCTTTCTCTGCCCTCAGTGCATGATCGGAAGGCGCGCCCTCAGAGCACATCGCACGACCGGCACCGGAGCATTCTGCATGGCCAAGCGAGTGCTGCTCCTTGCTTCGAGACCTGTCAAGTCATCCATGAAAGTAGCTCGGGCCCTCAGGGTGTGGGTTACTTAGCATTCGTTTCTTCACGTAAGCGGCTTGTCTCTGGTAGAAGGAGCAGAACATCAGAATTTCTTCCTTTTCCGAGTACAATGCGAACAGCTAAGCCCCAACACCCTGAAGCCCCAAACCCTAGCTATGAGAAAACAGATCTACAGCCTGAACCCCAAATCAAAACTCTAAGGGCCTGCACCCTAACCATCACTGCACCGCACACCTGCGACCAGCCGCAACTTTGGCAGCTGGAAGCCCACCAGGCAACAGGCGAAAGGAAGGCCTCACAGAAGAGAAAGGGCTTGGGACTTCGGGGATTTCGGGCAAATGCATCAAAGTCGCGGCTACATGTTCAGGGTTGTGAAGCCTTGAACAACAGTAGCATGCCGAGTACATATTCTTGCCTTCTGGATGTGGTTAAGGGCGCTACCCTTTGAGGGTTGGGTCTGTAGAACCTCTGAAATGCCGTAGCCAACTCTCAGCTGGCACCCTGTCTCCATTGCAGTTCCTCTTAGGGTTTAGGGTTCAGAGTTTAGGATAACCGCTTGTATGGTATATAGGATCCACCAGCCGAACGCATCTCTAGGATCCTAACCATGAAGAATGATTAGACGAAGCAGGAACTACAATCTTATAACAGTGATAAGATGGAACCCCTAAACCAGTTTTGTGCTGGCAACTATTTAACTATTTAGGCTCTTAATTGCATGAACTATCCACTCCAAGCACCAATGGGCCGGTCACATCAAGAGGATACATCATCAAGCTAGAGACTACACAACCATCCTTGAGATCAAAGACGGACACATACATATACATATATGTATATGTGATACTCATTTAACCGGTCTTCAGAAAATCCCGGCATGTTTAACATGTCCTCCCTTCCAGGGTCCCGGAAAATCAACGTGTCTGGAAACGCACTCCGCTTCTGGCTGTATGAGCCCAACATTCCGGGAATGTGAAACTTCGCCTCAAGGAATATAGCTAGCCTAAAACCCTAAACCCTAACACCCACAAAACGGCTAAAGTTTGACATGAATGCATCCCCGGCGAAAGGCGGGCGCGGGAGGCTTCGGGATTGTCACGTCAGAGTTTCGGTCAAAGCACAGCATTGACACGGTTAATCCTTGATCCCCCAAAAGATGCAATCTTAAACCCACCCTAAACCCTAAACCCATCAGAATCAAATTCAAATCCGGAGATCAAGAACTTGCTTGCTTATGTTTATGTTGCATTATGTTCTATCATACTGTATGCCGTAATATATATAGTTGTATGCAATATACTATTAAATAACGGCCCCGGGGCCTTTCCAAATCTGGAGCTTTGCTGAATGCCCGCGAAGGGCCGCCGTCGCGGTAGGAGCATGTCCTGAAGTGCTGTAGCGGCGACCGATGGACGAACATGGCAACACAAGCGAAAAATGCGTCCAAAGCAGAGCATTGGTCAAAGAAATGGTCCGTGGTGGTTTGAGAGTCTAGGACCTTACCTTTAAGTATTCGGTAATGACAACCGAACTCAGTCAGATCATCAGAGTGCCAACCATCATCTGCCATTGACCATCCAGTTTCGGCCTGCTCATCACCCCGTTCCGAAGGCCAAGGTGGCGGGCGGCACAACACATCATCATCTTGCCGATACTTTGTCTCGAATGCAGATGCGGTCGTCATTGTTATCACCAATATCACTGGTTACCATCGTCATCATCATCAGCAGCAGCATCCCGTTTATGACCTGTTAATGATGATTATCAGCTTTGTCGGCCGTTGGGCTCACGATGTTCAGCATGCACTTCATGTTTTACAGCACATGACATCACCGTGAACATGAACATGCAGTTATGGCACTGACGCTGGTAAGGACTTTGAGAACTGTTGTTATTGATGATCAAGCTTACGAAGACTATTGTAGACTTCGCGGTGGTGATGATGCCGGTGATGATGGCCACAATTGCAACGAGGAGCACTACGACACGCGACAACTATCAGAAGTAGAGCAGAAATATTCCAGTCTGCCAGAGTCACCTTCACTCAGCCTCGGAGTTCATTTCCCGAAAGTCCGCCACCACAAGCTGCAATGTTTAGCATATGGTTTACACTACATTGTATTTATAATATAGCACATACTATGCACTATGTAGCCCCATCAAGAAATCTTCAGCAGCTTAAAGTTTCAAAGACGAGCTGCTGGCGGTGCGTGTCCGCCGAATGGTCCACCACAAGGCTGTGGAGGCTGCTGAGAGGCCCGCAAGACCTGACAGAGCAAAAGCTGAAGGTGCCACGGTGCTGCTACTACAACCACTCCTGCTGCTGCTGCTGCTGCTGCTACTACTACTACTACTACTACAACACCGGCCCTTCATGATATAAACTTACTTCCCGGATGGATGCTTTGTTTGTACATTCTTGACTTCATGCGCTTGTTTGGGGTTTAGGGCAAGTTTAGGGCTTGTTCACCGAGACCCTACCAGCTTCCATCAAGGACCATTATACACCGATTTAAGGGTACGGGGAGGCTCCTCGATTTAAGGGTACGGGGAGGGTCATGGTAAATGTCAGCGAGGCATCTCAACTCCTTTGCCTCGTTGTAGACCAGCCGGGTCTCCATGCCAGGATGCCACCGCGAAACTGAGCAGACCAACAATGGGGCCTTAATATACATATGTATGTATATGTATAAAAACACGTTAGAAAATATTGTTTTGAGGTTTCCCAGACTACAATGGGAATCTGAAAACCTCACGGATACCAATACTTTAATGTATGTTTCTGTGTCGCACGCCACAGATCATCCTATCATATGCAGGCATGGAGGCTTCTGGTACCTTCGGGTGCTGTGCTCCTATGTTCACGATTCGTACCACCCAAACTACACATGCTGATCGTGCATGACCGAGAAAATATTATCAGAACTACAACTGCGACACTTAAACATCGAACTCGAAATATCAGCGATTATCCTCAGTCTCGGGAATAACTTATAGGAGCCCTCACAGCAACCCTTACAGGACGCTTACAGCAACCTTTTACGTCCGACCCCTGCGCTTACCTCTAGCCCGGGGCGAGGGTCCGTCTGGGCTGGAGGCGGAGCTCCTGTATGAATATCAGAAAAGTATAATAAGCCTAATATAGAAGCCTGAATCATTACCAATATTACTCCTTAGGGCTCAAGTTGCAAAACCCTACGCTAAGTACTAAGGCACCTACACTACTTGGGCCTACTTGTCCAGTATCCTAGGGGAACCAAGAGTTAATTTTTGGGACTATCTGGGGATTGTAGTACCCAAGAAGCTTACAGCTTACCGACTGTACTACCAGGTAAACCATAAACCCTGGTCAACTTGGTCGGGATGCTTAATGTAGGGACCTTAAAAAATTAGAATAGGGTCTTGTGGTCTTTCATAATAACTTTATAGTATAGTTATTGAAGGAACCCTAGGGAATAATGTAGGCAATTATTAGGGCCCTGTATTACGCAGACAACAAGTTGAGTGTCATGGAGAATAACACTGCAGATGGCAGCAATTAGACGGAAACATGATGGGAATAATAATGCTAATGCGAACAGTGGTTTTTTTCATTATACCAAATAAGCTACGACGGCAAGACAATAAGATAATGAGCATATGGAAATCATGAAAAGCATCACCATATAATGTATTTCTTCATCTTCCTTCCATCCCTCACTTGATCAGTTCTTGAATGCTATCTTCAGCTTCCAAGCAGCAGAACGGGAAATGCCACAAGGTTGGACAGGTTGGCTGCGGCGGCGGCCAAAGCACTGTCACATCCCACCTCTGGTCCGGTGTGTCGGCAAAAACGTTCCTCCTAAACTCCAATCCTGTGTCTGTGTTTATCTAGCTACAGCTTTAGGAATAGTTATAGCTATAGATATAGATATAAATTTCAAGGTAGATGTAGATATAGATACAGATAGATAGACAGATAGATAGACAGATAGATAGACAGATAGATAGACAGTCCAAATCCTAAGAACCCATCAGCCCATCCGTCACCCGCAGCGATTTCCTGTTTGTGCCTCCAGCGCGAACTGCACGGAGACGGCTGGGATAGGGCAGCAAAGCGCCATGACGCAAACCGTCTGAACCAGGGGCGCAGTACCTGCTTGGTTTATCTGGGCTTACTGCAATGTAAACCCTTGGTCACTAGACTGCCACCCACTCTTTAGGCTTTCGGGAAATAGACTCTCTTCGTGAAACTCACGCTGTAGAGACCCTTCTAGGATGTCGGGGTCAACAACAATCTGTCTTATCTTCATCCCGCTGTTGAAGAACCAGGGGACCCAGCCGCTGTCCCAGAGCGGCGGTGCCAGCTGCCGCAGCAAAACCCAAAGCACAGCGCAGAGACAGGAGCTCTGCCAGCTGTCTGCGCTGGTCCTTCGAGCAGTTATGCTTTTTTGTGATATAGGTAAGGTGATGTAGACATGTACATGATGTACGTATGTGTGTGTGTATATATATGTACATATGTATACATATATAAATCATATATATATATATATGTATATGCTAACTACATGTATGTGTGTATATTTATATACATACATACACACGCATTATGAACCCTAAAACACAAGACTAGCCCCAATGCCAGGCCTTGGGAAGCCTGAGTTTCAGGAGGATGCCCAAACCCATCATGACCAGAACCTAAGGGCAGTGAGCGGTGTTGTTTCTTTTTTTTTACGGTTTAGGCTTTGGAATGTCGTGGAGTTTTGTTCAGGGGTTTTCGGGATGGTTTAGGGGTTAGGATGTGTTCTGGGAACGATAATGTGGGGGTGTTTAAGATGTTTTCGGATGCTTTAGAGCTTGTCTTGGGGAAGGGGGAATCGATTTTTTTGTTGTTGCGGCTAGTTGGGGTTGTAGGGGTAAAGGAGGTTGATTACTTCTGGTCTCCCAACTTTGCATTTCTTGGTGTGAGGCTGTCTTGAGGGTTGTTTGCTTCACGGGGTTTGAGTTTGAGGTATGGGAGGCTACGGATCTAAATTCATAATTCCAACAGTTACGCAAGTAGGATCCCCTAAACGCTGAAATCCGCAGTTCACTTCGTGCCTCTGGCCTTGTTTGCGTGGCCCAGCTCGGCCAAGGTGTCGTCCACTGATGATGGCATAGGCAAGGCAAGCTGGCGCAGGGCAAGCCCCACCTGGGTTGCAGGCCTTTCATGCTTGTTCCAAATACCGGGGATTTCATGACCAGAATAGGGCTTTGATGTATGTTGTACTATTATGCTACAGTATCATGTGTGAATATGTTGTGATTATAAGGAGACACTATGACGAGGGACTCGGACTTGTATAATCAGTGTCCCAAACCCAGAACCTTGAAACTTAAACCTTAACCCCGAACACTGCAGCTAATCTCGCTTCCGGATCTGCCGAACAATCCTGAGCCCCAAACATTTCAACACTCAAACCCCAAACTGAAATCCTAAACTCTTAAACCCCGAAACCAGGCGCCCCAACACCATGCACAAAGCTCTTAACGCCCTTCTAGAGCCCTTATAACTTATAGCCCTTCTACCACGCGCTTCGAGCCCGTATAGAACCCTAAACCCACAATCTGTGAAGGAATCCTATCCACCCCCCAAAAATATAATCCTTACAGCACCCTTACAGACGCCAAAGGGAATCCTATATAATCCTTGTATATCCTTATAGAACCCTTAAAGCAGCCCTTAAAGGAATCCCTTAAAAGGGAATCCTTTCAGCATCCTTGTTTCCAAGGATCCCAGATTGCAACCATGGCCGGAGCACGCAAGAGCTGGAGGCTAGCGGTGCGCAGAAGTCGAGCCCCTCTCGTCGGGCTGTGTGGGAACGTTGCAGGGTTTTGTTTCTTTTGAAATTTCATTTCTCTCGCCCATGTCTGGCTTTGGAACGCCAAGTTTGGCTGAGAGATGGTTACCGGAGACTTTCCAGCGGGATTTAGGGTTTAGGGCTTAGGGTCTAGGGTATAATGACTGTTTAACGCCAGATTATAAAATGTTCTCAGCCTGTTTCGCTCGGTAAGTAAGGTTGTTCATAGCAAGTTGATGTGCCTTTGTTGATTTAAACAGGGCTCTACAGGGTTTCATCGGGTTTTGTAGGGCTCAAAAAGGGTCTAAAAGCAGGTCACCGAAGGCGCTGTGAAGGGTTCTACGAGGACTCCTACAGGGTGTTTTGAGTGATTGTGGACCATAGGACTTAAAGCAATTCAGGGTTTCTTGAGTTCAAGGGATTCAGGGTTAGGGTTCAGGGTCGAGGCCTTTGAAACCGGGCATCTTTGTTCCCGATGCGACTGCATATGAAATCTGTGTAGGGCATGGCCTTCGACAACTTCATCATGGACCTGAAAATATCACTATAGCCGTGATCAGCACCATTGCAGCCTCGCCGTCATCGCCACCCGAACACCATTATCATCACCATCATCGAGCAGCTGCCCAGATCGGATCTGATGCCCAAGTTGGTGCTGCTGGTACTGTCGATGATGGCAATGAAGATCGTTGTGATGACGGTGGTCCTCCCGACGAAGGACATGATGGCCAGAACCAGCCATGACGGTGATGACACATTACGATGACGGGGATGATGAAGGCGATGCTGATGGTGATAGTGATGATGGCGACGAGGAACGCCCATCAGGATGACCATGCCCAATTCTGCCATCATCACAGTGGCCGTTCACAGCAGTTACATCAAAAGCGTTGTCAGAAAAAAAGCAGTGCACTCCTCTTTCTCTTCACCATCACTATCACGGTCATTGTCATCATGTTGATCTTGGCCAGCCCATCGTCGTCCTCCTCATGTTCAGTGTGGTAAGCCATCCAACTCAACATCAGATTAGGGATCATCGGTAAGTTCCCTCACCCTTTCCTTTCCTGTATTCATGCATGCTGGCCCGTTTATGCCAGTGCTGCTGCCATTGACACTGATCTTTGGACCCTAAGCCCTTAAACCTCAACCCATGCCCACGAAGACGAGAATGGTCCTCGCTGGCTTTTTTTTATCAAGTGTACCAACAATGTATCACGACTGAGACATTAGTAATTTTGCTGCTGCTTCTGTTCAGTTCCGTGGCGAAAAGACACCCGGCACAAACCATTGGCAGGCGCAAGTAGCTGTAAAGCAACACCAACAGCAACAGGATCAGCAACAGCTATGCGAGATGTTTAGCTACTCGGATTGCAAGCCATTTGGATCCAGCCTGATGGCCTCTCTTGGGCCAAGCCGTCAAAGACAGCACGATTGTATGCGAAGTTCACGATCATGTTCCTCAGGTGTCACAAAGAGCCAAGCTGTGTAATCAATCAGCAGCTGGCCGTTTCGCCACCTCATGAGTTGAGCCAGACCAGTCAATGCGACGACAACCCGCAGCCAAGTCCAGCTTTTTGACCAACATGGGAGTGTGAAAAGTCTAATTAAAGACCCAAGCTGTACAGGCCAGTATTGCACGGCAGCTATCCAGCGTCACTCTCATTGGTGTCGCGAAGAAGATCAACTACAACAGACGTTAGGAGCTGAGCGCGGAGAGTTGCGACGCAGCACTGGCACACGCCCTCGCACGGCACCTCTATGATGCGTCTCGCTTACGAATCACTTGAAGTGATATGCCAGGCGAAACCATAGCGGTCTTGCGACAAAATTAGCCTAGCATGCTCTTTGAGCATGCACAAAGCCTGCGTAGTCTGCACAAGAGAATCATTCGTGGGCTTCCCATGCTCTCCAAACCTTCCCGGTGCCTGCATCAGCACGCCCCCAACGAAGGAGCCGGCCCACTTCCGCAATTCGCTGCAGGCTGTCCATAGCAGTCCAGGATGCCAGCAAGCCAGACTGCGGATCAAAAATCAGTGATTGTAGCTCCGCGTTAAACTTATCGATGTCTGTGGTGCTTCGGATCTTGTCGAGGATGAGCTCTTTGTCTGTTTCGGAGGATGCTCGCATGCTCCGAACATCCAAGTTTTCCAAAGCACGTGCACATCTCATGATGGTTGTTCTAGATGAAACTTTCAGCGACATGGGCATTCGTAAACGCTTGGCTTCCGCCATTTCGGCGACACACCAAGCACGGTTGAAAAGGTCAAAAGATTCGTCCGCCGCAATTACTTGCCTGCAACCTCCTGCGGCTGCGAGGTGATACATCACGTCATCAAACTTGTTTATCTCTGATGCAACACTTGTGCCATCTGGATCAGAGATGTTCACGTTTCTGCAGTTACAAACCGGATGCACCTCGTTTGTGAGAGGGTCGCGGTCGCCGGGGTTTGCGTGGCATATGCTGTTGTGCTGGTTCACTGCAAAGGCGCAGACCCAGTACGTGTCATCCAAGCGGCCGCTTTCCGACAGGGTCTTGCAAAGGAGTTCGCAATCGCCTTCCAGCAGCCTAGTGGCCAAATGGAAGCTGCATTCCTGAAGGGCATCTGAGACGACCGCGGCAAGCAAGTCCTTGTACACGTTGCTCCAAGTGTGCGTCACCATAACGGCGGCCCTTTGAGCCCCATCTCTGTTCAGACTAGAGGCCGCAAACGCGCAGCCTTCTGCGCATGTGAGAGGAATGATCGCCCTCCGAACGACATCTCTGGTCTTGTGGTCCTTCGGCACATACCTCCAGTCTGGCATGGACGGGAGATCTTGTTGATAGAACTGCAAAAGGCTGCGCAAGGTCATACCTCGCAACGAGAGCTCCTCGGCTTTTGCTGTCCAAGGCAGACTCACGTCACGTTCCTTTGCAGGCACTGCACTGGACTTTGCGGGACACCTGCAGCATGCTTGCTGTCTGGCGTCCATCGAGTTCTTGCAAAGGTCTACATTTGCTACCCTGTGGCTTCCGGACATGAGCAGCAATAAGACTGCTTTCACGAGCTCCCTCCACGCAGTGACAATCGTATACTCATAGTCTGCTGAAAGTGCCACAACGGAGATTCGGATCAGAAAGTAAAGAAACACAAACATCAGTTGTAGTATCGTAGTATGCCGGGCCAATCTTAACGAAGACCTTGCTGGAATTGCCGTGTCATTCAGCCCTTCCGCATTGTGCAAAATCTTGCGTAACTGGAAGATGGATAAGGTCAGGGCACGTATTGTCATGACGATCACCAAATTGGTGTTCAGCTCACTAAAGACGATGAGGAGCTCTTGCAAGAACGCACTTGGCAGGACAAGTGAAGGGCCAAGCACCAAGGGTTGCACCCAGACGAGCTTTCGAACGAAGCCGCTGCAGTATTTCTGATTGGATGACTTCTCCAAAAGGCCTAGTAGTGAAGCCACGAGCAGTAGCATCCAACAGTGCCCTGCTACATTGAGCACGGCGGCGATGCAGATGACTGCGCTAGCAAGGCTTGTCTTTGGATGGCATTCAACTGAGATCAAGCAGGGTGACTCCAACATGAGCGCAACCCAGCTGACGGTAACACAGCCACATGCTGACAAGGCATGAGATGAACACCTCGCTTTTTTCCAGAGAAAGGCTACCACACAACCAACTCCTACAATTGGGAACATCAGTCCGGCGAGCCAGACCTTGTCTGAACGCGGGCGTCGGAGTTCAGTGTCTCTGGTAAGACTTATGAGCACAGCCAGAGAAGTTGCGTGCACAAGGAAAACCACAGAGTATGATCCAGGCAGCCATCGGTGCCAAATTGAGGCCTTCATCAGCTACGCGAGGGATGACTTTGCTGTGGCCAAAATGGCTCCAACCAAACCCTTGATCTACAAGTGATGCAGGACATCCACAGTCTACGTACCCTGCGTCCCTCCAATGATGCAACATGGCGATGATGAGCACGTCGGCATCGTGGTTTCTCAATTTCACATATTTCCGCATATCGTATGCTTAAATGTGCTGTTCGGATTTCTGCTTTGGGCTGCATTGGAGCAATTTGACGCATGGGTTTGGGGATTTCGGAGGTCGTCAGGATGTGGGAATACGGTGGGTATGTTAGTATGCTTTGTTGGGAGAAAACTATTCAGGTGCAAAAGCGTGTGGCCGGGCTCTATGGCGGGGTGTGGATGTGAACTGGAAATGACCCTTGCTAGCTCTGCCATCCGGAAGAATCATCCAACAAAAATCAGTGTCAACTTTGTCAAGTCGCCGCTGCAAACTGTATTCATACCACGAACGCAGTGTAATTCCGCAAGTTTGCCCCTAAACCCTAAACCCCAAACTCGAAACCTTCAATTCCCAAAGCCTAGATCTCAAACCCCGATACGCTAAACCTTGCGCCCGTTTATGCCGAAGCCAGGAAGCGGAATATCCAGGCAGGCCACAATGCAGAGCCCTTCCACTCCGAATATTCCGTGGATGATGGGATAGGAGAACCTCAGGAAAGGCCCTACGTAGTTCTGAATCATAAAACTAGAGGAACCTGAATAAGTAAGCGTATCTCTTAAAGTCCCTACATGTGAATCGAGTCTGCTAACTTCCCGAAACCTTCAACCCACCATAACTATTCCCTACTCGCATGACGTGACGCTCATTCAGTAAACTGTATCTACACAAGGCCTGCGTGTTTGGAGTCAATATATCAATTTTGCAACACAGAACTGCCAAGGCTACTCAAGTGCCATCTCCATGTGCTTTAGCAACAGAAGCCTGTTCTATTGAAGGGAATCCAATCAACCATATGTATTTGAACACTACCAAAGGGGACAGGGCAGGGATTCTTGATGATGTTGTTTCAATCTTCCTTAGATCCGACTTCGGACTGCCGTTAAGGGTCCGGGGAAGGCGTGCTGCTCTACTTTATTTCAGGCTAAGGATCATTCCCAAGTTCAACCCAGTCATCATGCCAGTGAGCAGTGCGCGTTCCTGGCGCGACTCCTGCCAAGCCAGATCTTGAAACTCTTGCAAGGCCGAGTCGAGCTAGAATTTTGGGAGTAAGGTTAATCATCTGCTATACTGTTATACTATGCACCATCTAACATTCGCCTGGGCCCCGGCCCGGCCGAAGCGGTCAGAGGTTCCTTTCGCAGTGGCGTGGCCCCCCATTTCGCGCGTTGGCCTTTTGCACCACCAGCCCCCCCCGCTCCGCCCACCCCCACCTCCCTTTCCCCCTTCTCTCGTCTCTTAATTGCGGCGAGGCCACACAAGCAAGCTTACAGCATTCATGAAGTTGATACCAAAGCCTGGGAATTCTGGCAAAGCTTGATTCCCCATTCCTCTTCCAACATATAGGAGGTTGTAGTGAGAAGTGTAATACGATTTTTATAGTAGCGGCTAGTAGCTCCTGTACGATAATGCAGGATATGTGCCACCTTTCGCGTGGGATTGTTGCTCAGAGCCTCAGCATGAAAACACATACTGACATTAAAAACCAAGAAAGTGCACCTGCTTCAAGCACAGCCGGGCGGAGGCAGACGACGGGAAGCGTTTGATTGTTTTGTGGTAACCGGCTATCGATCTATATACTTGATACTGTTATTGTAACTACTGTCCACTTTATAATACCTTTACCTACGTACCTACGTACCTACCTACCTACCTACCTACCTACCCACCCACCTATCGGTCTATCTATCTATCTATCTATCTATCTGTCAGACAGATAGATATGCAGGCAGGTAGATAGACAGACAGACAGATAGACAGACAGATAGGTAGGTAGATAGATGTGTGTGTGTGTGTATGTATGTATGTATGTATGTATGTATGTATGTATATATGTACAATATGATATATATATATATATATGTATAGATATATCATGTTATCACCTACGAGGAAGGACCTTTACTGCTCCTTCTCTCGAAAGCCCCACCAGCCGCCCAGGGCAGCCAAGCCGAAGCTCAGAAGCCAGGCCGCCAGGGCGAGGGATGGAGCGCCTGTGCCTTGAGATGATGGTTTACGGTTCTTTTATAGGTTCCTCGAAGGGGTTCTTTTCAGGCTTCCTTGCAAGGGTTACCTGTAAGGCTTCCTTTTGAGAGCTCCTTTGAGGGGGGTACGGTTTGGGGCTTAAGTTTTAGGGTTCAGGGTTTCGGGTGTTCCCGGCCCCAAGCCCTAAACCCGGAACCCTAAACCCCGATTCCCAACCAAACATGAAATTCGGGCTCGCGGGCAGATGCGAGGCCGGAAATAGGCTTGTAATGTAGGGTCCTTGACGACTAGTGCTGCTACTTGGTCACACTTTTATGTTAAGCCCGGGTTGTGCAAAGCCATACTTTGGTTCATGTCCGAATGCATCTCGCAGTTGCCCCCTGGTGCTTCCACGAAGGTGTGCAGCAGCAAGGCCTGTCGGCGAGTCACTGCTCCAATCGTTGGGGCATTCCCCCAGGGCTCCTCATTCTAAGTATGCTGTCATATATAAATATATTTATTTATTTATTTATATTTATATGTATCTATCTGTTGAAGCCCAGATTTCTGCTGCAGCCAGTTCACACACTTTACTTAGTGGCACGCAGCGGCTGCATCCGACCCGGATTCTGTGCCTGGAAAAAATGTATATGTGTGTATATATAAGTAGTATACGTATATATATATATACATATACATACATATATATATATATATTTATATACATGACATATAATATACAGACACCCCCAAACCCTAAGTTGGCAATCGGAGGCGTCAAGCTCCAACACACGCCAGGTCGATGCCGACAGAGAAGCCGTAACAATAACAAAACATACGACTAGAACTTAAGAGAACACAAATCCTGGAACGACAGGACTGCATTGCGGGGTATACGGTGTGTGTGTGTGTGTAGGGTAGAGGGGACGATGAACAAACGAAGAGAATAACACTATTGTGATTCACGGTTGTGATACTCAGGAACAGCTTAGCAATAGTCGTCTTCATGCGCAGACAAGTTAGAAAGTGACAACAATACCCATGGTCATGATGTTGATGACGATGTTCATGATGGTGATGATGATGATGATGATCCTGATGGCAAAGCTGAAGGATAGCTGAGCAAGGACAACGATGCAGTTCAGGGCTCTGTGGTAGTACCGTGGTGCGAATGAAGGCAGACCTTCTTCGAAGCAGACGGTGCTGATGGAGGTTATGGTGACAGCCATGACATGGACATTAGATCTCTGTTGTCAGGCTGGGCAAGGATGACGACTATTTACGACGACATTCATGGGCAAGACGATGACGATGGTGATGATGACGATGATGTGGACGGTGAGGAAGAGACAAGCAATGATGTTGATAATGAAGATGAAGATTAAAAGCAATATGATGACGACTGTGGCGATGATGAAGACAATCATGCAGACGATGATGATGGTAATAGTAATGAAGATGATGAATGCCGCTGATGAAGACCATAAAACCTATTTAATACTTATTTGTGATCGTGATGATGACGATGATGATGATGATGATGGCGACTGTTCCGATTGCCATGACGAGCGCGGTGGTCGTGAGCGGACCCACTTCACAGTATGATTTAAATCTCGGAGCACTTATTCTCAGGCGCCCGGTACAATTGCAACAATCGCAAGTCTGGCAGACCAGGCACGGGTGTGGCCACATTCAAAGCCAGCTTCAGTAGCGTGCGCCCATCGGTCTCCTCCACAGAGCTCGGAATTGCAATGGGTCTGCTTCTGCATCCGCGACCTATGTTCGCCAATTCGAAGATCTGGCAACGAGGGAGGCGACAGAATTGGAGAGTAGGTTGCCGACCCAAACACCATGACCTCAAGAACTTGTGTGGACAGTTGGGGGAGTGCTGTCAAAATCATCAGCAGGATCAGAGAGGCCGTAGATTGGAAGAAACGCCAATCTAACCATCTTGTCGATCGGCCAGTGGGCAAGCAACAGCTACAAGTTGAGCTTACCCTTTTCCCCAAACGCTTAGCCTCAGGCTCCATCCTGCACGATATTGCACCGCTTCAGCAGAAGACCCAAGGCAATGAGCGAAAAGTTCGAAACGAAGGCAGCCGCTGCATTGTGGGCCATAGCAGCTGAAGTCTTCCTCGTGCGGGCAGCTTTTGTCGCTTGAGTCTTGGGTTTCTCATGGTTCTGCTTGCTTTATTTGGGGTTCTTGAAGCGGATTATGCTTGTCAGTAGTGTTGGTGGAATGAGCTTGTTGTGGTAGAGGTCGCAAGAAGTACACGGACATGTCTGTGATTGCCTGTGATACTCCTACAAATCTGCGAGTAGAAGCCATCGCAGCTGCGATTGTAGTCAGCATTCGTTCAGAGACAATGCTGCCTGCAGCTCAGAGGTGGGACGCTCCAGCAGTCGGCCTTCAACCCTGGTACCTATGTACGCGGCTGGACCCTTCATGTAAAGGCCTGAATAAATCAGACTAGAGGCTGTGGGCTACGTTACTATAATTACAATCTAGGAACCTGAAGGAACACCAATACCATGGTTGATTATGCTGGCCCGGCGCGAAGGAGGCGCAGGCTGTTTCCACGTTCGCAAGCTAGCGCTTCTTCCGGTCATACCTTTATTTCAGCTCTGGGCACCCTTGTAGTCATCCTTATTTCTGAGATGTTCTTCACTTCCCAAGGCGGGTGCACAAGCCAGGGCAGGACACTTGGCAAAAACAAAGCCACCAAGCGCCTGGCAGGAGTTGCTTGCATGCTCGTTGAGCCTTTAATTGAGGGCTGACCCCGTCCAGAGGTATTGCTGCGCGAGAGTCGCAGCATGTCGACCGCTGTTGGAAACATTGTGCTCTGATGCCTAGATGACTAGATCAAGGCTGAGAGACCTGTAAACTCCGCATCCTAAGCTCTCAGCCTCATGCTACATCCTGAGCCGCGATAAACCTCTTGGCTAGGAGATCGGCCCAATCACAGCGCAAATGCAGCAATTGGTGGGGCCTTAGGCCCGAAAGCACATCAGGGCAGCGAGATCCTTCGGATGACACGCCTCACCCTGTGTGTGATTGGCCCCTTTGAGTCTGCAGGACATGTCAGAATGCTGGGGACGAAGGTTCAAAACAATTCACACCTCAGGAGATTGGCAGCTTAGAGCTCTTGAGTCTTCAATGATCGTGTCCTGGCCTCTTCTAGGCTATGGGGCATAGGCATCAACAGGAAAAGGAAGGGATGTCTGGCCAATGTGACCCTGTGGCTGTTCCGCATTTGGCGCGTGCCGCTGAGTGTCAGCAGGAAACCCCTTGCAAATCGGTGAAGAAGCATCAGGATCCCCAAAGCCAATACGACAACTAATGGGCTCCGCTGTCCCACGCAAGCGTCAGAGATGATGTTACAGTGCAAAAGCAGCGCACCCACAAAGCTAGGTAGGTGAGAGCATCCAGCAGTGACCCTCAAAGTGTTTCATGTGGCGTTCAGGCAGTGTGCAAGAAAAGCCGTGTTTCCTTGTCTTGCAGGATGTCAGTGCTTCATATCCGCAAAAAATCCCAAATTGGCAGGTGCCATGGCATGTCCATCACATGCATCCCGCCACAGCAAATCCGCACGTGGCAGGCCACGCAGCACGTTTGCAATGCAACATCACCACACCCCACAACTCCACACCAAGTCCACACCAGCCCACTTGCAACTTCTGGCTGTGCACCACCCACCCCCCCCCACCCCCCCCCCACACCCCCTATGCTAGAGATGAACACCCAAATTCAATCCTAAATCGGCTGTACTAGTAGTGATGCATGTTCGAAACCTCTGACAGCGGCACTGGCAAGGTCATCACGACCGTTCCCAGCTGGCGCACACTGCGGAACAGAAGTCCCGTAGATATCCATGGGCTTGAGTACTGGAAGACGTGTGCTCACATCCTCGCTGGCTGCCATCAGCTGCAGGGCCAGCTTGCTGGCGAACCCTGCCGGATGCTGTGAAGCTGCTCACATTCTCTGTGCTGAGACAAGCATCACTCTTCTAACCATCACTCCTAGCATGCTGACGCATTCACTCCAACCCTACGTACATATGTAGCTACTCCTATCCCGTAGAGACATTCACTCCCACCCTGCAGATGCATGCTCACCTGCCCAGCTGTCTGCAGGCGAACCGCACTTTGCGACACCTCAATGCCTCAAAGGGGGTTTAAAAAAACAAAACAATGCAGACCAGGTTTTTTCCCCATCAAATGTGGTGTTGGACAGCGTGCAAATCATTTGCCAATTTTTGCCCGTTGTTTGCCAATGTTTTGCCAATTGTTTGCCATTTTCGCTGCCAATTGTTTGCCAATCTATTTTACCACTATTTTGGCCAATGTGGCAAACTACATGACGACAACATGTATAAAGAGAGAGCGGCGTTTTCAACTCAACGAAGACTCCAAGATAGTTCCAGCTCTAGTACTCAGGTGACATCGCCGGCTCGTGACTATGCTACGTGCTTGGATACTCTACCTTTAGAAGTTGCCAGGTTCCCCAGTAGCCCCTTAATAATAACGGTACCCTTTTTCATCTTTTTCTTACTAATTAGATTTAGCCTTAGAGCGATCTTAGAGCGATCAGTAGCATTGATTGCACCTGCACCTGGTTCTGTATTGCAAGGTTGCCTGGGCTCCATTATCATTTTACATCTGAGGTCCCGGCCACTAAACGCCAACGCCAACAAAGCTTCGCCGCTCGTCATTCTCCTTCCGCAGACTTTAGGGTTTGGAGTTTGAGGGTTCGTTAGAGGGTTTAAAGTTCAAGGTCAGGCTTGGGCTTGGGGTTGGGGACGTACTGACACGGGCGACCTCGTCCACTACAGCCCTCCGAACCCACCAACATTGGCGCACAGAGCTTGTGGTTTGGAGTAGATCATAGGAACACATGGAAACACTTAACATCAGTTACATACAAACGAGACACAACTCATTCAGCTGGCCATGCAGATGAAGCATGCTTACCAGACGAAACTAGAATGTGCAAAACTTCCAAGCAGGAAACTAAAACTCTTCGCTGTACTCAGCATTTTCCTCATTGTTTTCAAGAGGCTTCATGGTCATCAGCATCATTCGTCATCCTGAGTACCAACCCAGGTCATCGTCATCAACATCGCCACCGTCACCATCGTCTTCAACGTCACCATCCAATGTCGTCATCATGGTCGTCACCGAGAAAAGAAATCAAATCAAGTTGGTTCGAGTTGAGTACGTGGAGAAACTGAATCCCACATGACTTGCAAGACTTGCCTATGTTCGAGATCTACGAACAACTGACACAAGGATGAGACTAGCCACAGAAGCAGATTACTAACATCGAAAGTATAAGCAACTGTCATTGCAACAAGAAAAACAAAAGGCCGAGGAAGACATTATATTATATGATGTAATATGACGTGAGATGATATTATAAAGAAATGATGCTATATTGAGTAGCCTCCATCCGAAGCTCCTGATTCAAATGCTCTCTGTCTGAAGACTCGCGGGACATCAGCGACAAATGCCCACACTTCAAGCGACAGCGCCAAGGCTGACGGCTAACCCAAGCCCCCACTGAGCCCTTAATGTAATCATATTATAGTACTACATTACATCAGACTCCTACACACAACTGTATTAACTTACATCGCATTTTTATGTTTGCTATTCTGATTCTCAGCAATCCCT